GTCTTTTTTTACTGGTGTGACTAAAGAATACATAGAAAATACTTGCAATGCGTACCTCATTAGTTTATCGAATTGGTTACGAGTAAATAGATTGAAGCTAAACACAAGTAACACTAAATACATAATCGTCAAACCTGTTAGTAAGCGAGACAACATCTCTATTAACATTATATTTGAAAACACCGTTATAGAACAAGTTCCAGAGCAAAAGTTCTTGGGCGTCTGGTTTAGCGAAGAGCTCACGTGGTCCGCCCATGTAAATAGAATGAAGGCAGAGCTGTCTCGAGTTACTGGTATTATATATAAAATGCAAAATTTGATACCCACTTGGCTTAACATGACGTTGTATTATTCTCTCTTTTATTCTAAGATCAGTTACGGTATGTTGGTTTGGGGTACGACCACTGCATCTAACTACAACAAACTAATCATCCTTCAGGAAAAAATTCTTCGTATTTGCGAAAATTACAGAGGTAATGTCAGAAATTTGAGCACTGAACCACTTTTTGTTAAATATAATATATTGAAGGCAGACCAGATATATCACTTTGAATTATTTCAATGGATCTACAAAAACAACCTCTATTTGACACAGACACCTCCTTCTAGTGCCTACACATTACGAGACCCGAAACGTAGGATCCCAAGCATACGAACAAATTATGGCAGGCAAAGTTTATCGTACATGAGTACTAAATTATTAAATTCCCCTGGCATTGATGTTAATTTCACTTCCCCTTTTCCAAAGTTACAAAAAGACTGCAGACGAGCTCTGGTTTGCAGTGATATCGCATTTTCATCTATTTAAGGCATGCATATCTATTTATATTTATTTTCAATGAAGCGTAACGTATGCGAAACTTTGGAATTCTCAATTTTGGCTTTGTAGCTTGATTTTTGGTTTTGATTTAGCTTGTTTCCGCTTTCTTTTATAAATCCTTGTTTTAGTAGGTAGGGTTTTTCGCTCCGGCAGCTCGAGGGAGATAGACGTGCTGCGCCGAGCTCCCGCCCGCCTATCATTTTATTATCAAAGTGATAGCGGCGCCTGCACTGGAAGAAGTGCCGGTTTGCAGATACCCGAAGGACCGGGCAAAAACTACTTCCACCGAAAGTCCTCACCGCTGCGGACCCCCGGAAGCAACCTTTGACTGGGTGAGCCAAATTTTCACCAGTTTTGACCAAAACCACTAGAACGCGGGGAAAAGTAGCTAGACCCAGCGAAGCCTACTTCACCGGCGCGCCGGCGGCGCTCTTCGCCGTCGAGTGGGCGTCCGGGGGTCCCTCCCCACCCCCCGGGCTACCCAAGCATGGAGCCGACTGGACAGCCGACTGATGGAAACACCATGCCCGAACTCGAGGATATGGACGAGGTGCAGGGCGAAGCCCATACCAATATTACCCCCGGTAATGACGAGCCGCAATCAGCGGAGGAGACAAACTTTCCGCCCTGGATCAAGATACTTAGCCGGAAACAACAAAGACTTCAAAACCAGGCCTACCGGAAGACTCTAGAAGAATCTAGACGGAACGACGAGCAACCACCCCCTGGCAAGATGCTAACGGGCGCGAAAACCCGCCAGACGTCGAAACCGCGGAAGCGACAGCTCCCACCGCTACCGATTGAGGATTACAAAGTGGTCGTCCGCCCCTTGGATGGTCTGAACCTCGGAGCTTGGGGCCCCGATCAAGTCTACCGAGCCATCAAGTTGGCAGCGAAGCTCACTCCTCTCGAGACTGCGGAAATCAAGACGAGGCTCCGTAAGGACCAGAACTTGGCCGTTGTGAGCACTCCAAGTGTCGACACGTTGGAGCGGCTTTGCAATATCTCCTCCATCGCACTCGGAGAAAAGCAGTTCCGAGTAAAACCTTACGCCGCCATGCCGGACGACTCCTGTAAGGGGGTCATCTCGGGTCTCACATCTCGGCCCTCGTCCGAGTGGCTCACTGAAGAACTCAATGCACGGAACACCAACTACATAGTCCTGAACGCTCGAATGATGGGTAGTACGACCTCAGCCATCATCACTTTTCACGGACTCAGGGTTCCCCGCCTAGTGTATATCGATGGCGGCGAATTTGAGTGCAGGGTCTACAGACCCAAAAAACAAGTCTGCACTAAGTGCCTAGGACTAGGACACCGAGAGGACGTGTGCCCTCAGCCTGAAAAGCAACGATGCTCAAAGTGTGGAACTGAAGGCAGTGCCATGGACTCGCACGAATGCGAAGCGAAGTGCGTGAATTGTTGCGGGGCTCACCCGGCTACGGACCCTCGATGCCCCGCAAGGCAGCGAGCACCGTACAACAAGTCACGCGTTCAGAAGTACCTGCAGCAACAACAACATGGCCGCCATCAGCAGGGAAGTCAACGGCCCCAGCACGTGGCTTCACCGCTTCAACCCGGGCAAGCGACCCAGGCTGTACCCCCCGAGGAGCAGTGGCCACGACTACCAACGAGGGGATGGGCGAACCAAAACCCGTACGCTCTGCTGGCCTCTGAAGCACTCGACAGCAGCCCAACGTCGACGGGCCCTCAAGGTTCAGACACCCGCTCCGGATCCAAGCGGGCCCGGAGCAGATCCAAGGCGAGATCTCGCTCCCGCAGCCGAGCCCGATCCCGGTCGAGACGGAGGATGCAGCAACAACGGTCGGCGCAGGAAGCTGAAACCCGAAAATCAAGGAGCCCCGGTCCAGAGGCCCCGAAGGTGAGCTGGACAGGGCAGCAGCCTCCCACTCCCTCCCAATTCCCCGCATGCCCCCCTTCTCCCGCTCCTAGATCCAGCGTTAGGACACAACACCACACACACAAACAAAACACTCAGCACACGTTCATTGAAAGCAATCCTTGTGCCACCGACACTTCCTTCTTGGACACCTTGAGGCGTGAACTCAGGGCGGAAATGCAGAGCTATCGAGATGAGCTCCGCATGATTAGGGAGGAGATGCAGAGATCTAGGGAGGAACTTAAAAAATCTAGACTTGAGCCACTCGGTCTCAGCGAAGAACTTAAACGCGAAGTAGCCAAACAGATCGCCGAGGCCAGACTTGGTATTAGCAAGGAACTGGATCACATGACCACTACACTCAAAGGGGACATGCAGACTGGCATGGACAACGCCCGTAGACAAATCCTTAAGGAAAATAGAGCCCAACTCCCTGAGCTGGTTCGAGACATTCTCTCCGCGATGCCTCGACACAGGCTCGGGGTAAAGAGCCTCAAGGCAGCGGGACACCGCTCGTCCGGAACAGGGTCTCCCCCAGTTACGCACTTAAGCTTATCCCAGAACCATCCCCAGAACTTCACTCAGGAACAACACAATGGAACGGGACAGTAACAGGGTCAGAGCGGCGGACCACCCGATCCTCCGCAAACGCCCACCCAGTAACATACGCGTTTGGCAGTGGAACTGCAGGGGCTATCGGCGCAAGCGCGGGGCGCTCACGCAGTTCCTCGCCACACTCGACGAAAAACCCGAAGTTATCGCAATGCAGGAAACCGCGTGTACACCGGCACTCTCGGGATACGTGACTTGTGCTTCAAAACCGGAACACGAGGGCGTACCTCCGAGGGTAGCCACTCTCGTAGCCAAACATCTACCGTTCATTCCACATCAGTTAGAAAGGGTCACTGGCATACCATATGTCTTTCTCGAGTTGCTCCCGCAGAAAAGCGGACAGAGCAGTCTTTTCGTCCTTAATTTGTACAGTTCACCAAGGGCGAAAAAAGACACCTTTGACGCGATCTTTAGAGACGCTATCGCCTTAACCAAACCGAGCGAGAATACGCTTCTCATAGTAGGGGATCTGAACGCGGCCCACCCGGCATGGGGATATTATCAAGAGTCGGTGAAAGGACGAAAACTAGCCACGGCCATAGACAGAAATCAGCTTACGCTCCTCAACGAGCCGGATCAGCCCACGAGGGTAGGGAACAGCGCGAGCCGCGACACGTGCCCGGACCTCTCCCTCGCCAGAGCGAGAGGCCCGTGCACGTGGACCAACCTCCAGGAGAGTCTGGGCAGCGATCATTTTATCATTGAAATTCAAGTTCCAGTGCAGGCTCATCGTAGACACAAGAAGGCCCTGCGGTTGGTCAACTGGGACTCGTTCCGCCAGCTCAGGGCTCAGACAAACGCCGAAGAGATAGATGAAAACGTACCATTGGCACAATGGGTAAGAAAACTCCACGCCGACATTCAGAGAGTAACCAAGACAGTTCAGACGACGGACAAGGCGCCCGTCGTCGACCCGCATCTTCTTCATCTATGGGAAGCCCGGCGTGGCCTAACTAAAAGATGGAGAAGACAGAAATATAATCGGAAACTAAAAGTTCGCATAGCCAAAATTACCCAAGAAGCCGAGCGTTATGCAGAGGAGCTCACCCAATCTAATTGGCATAAACTATGGGACAAACTACAAGGTACCCTAGGAACTAGGCAGACCTGGAGTCTGCTCAAGAGTCTGCTTGACCCCACAAAGACTAGGACCGAAACCAACAAGGCTATAATAAAACTTGTTCACCAAACGGCACACAACGGGGAGAACGCCTTGTGGGATTTCCTAAAGGAACGTTACATCGCATCCGGCCCCAGACCAAACTACCGCCCATATCCCCACGAAGAAGCAGACCATCCGCTGGATCAGGACATATCTGAATACGAAGTTAGGGGAATACTCACTGGCCTAACCCGCAATAGCGCTCCCGGAGAGGACGGAGTCACGTACAGGATTCTCAGGAATCTGGACGATGCCTCCGTTTCGGCCCTCACATCATACTTTAACAGGGTATGGAGTACCGGTGTCCTCCCACCGGAATGGAAACACGCCGAGATCACCTTCATCCCAAAACCTGGGAAGCTCTCACGCTAGAAAACCTTCGTCCCATTTCACTAACATCGTGTATAGGTAAGCTTCTGGAACACATAGTTCTCAGACGCCTTCAATCCCATCTCGAAGCTAACGGATTTCTTGGGGACACAATGTTCGGGTTTTGACAAAATCTGTCAGCACAGGACGTCCTCCTACAGCTCAAAGAGGACATCCTAGACTTTCCTGGAAGAACGCAGACGAGAGCGGTACTCGCGTTGGACCTTAGAGGAGCTTTTGACAACGTGTCTCACGACGCCATTCTCGAGGGCTTGACCAGAGCACACTGCGGCAAAAGAACTTACGACTATGTCCGTGCGTTTCTGACGGACAGGACCGCTACTCTAGGGCTGGGAGATCTTCGCTCCCAGCCCATCAAGCTCTCGGGGAGGGGAACGCCACAGGGTTCCGTCCTTTCGCCGACTCTCTTTAATATAGCCATTTCAAGTCTCCCGACCCTGCTGGGGGCCATCCCTAACGTCAGGCATGCTCTGTATGCAGACGACATCACCATCTGGACAAGCAAGGGTTCGGATGGTGAGATACAGGACGGACTTCAGGAGGCGGTCGAAATCACTCAAAAGGTTGCAGAAGCAGCAGGACTAACTTGCGCCGCCGACAAGTCTGAGCTTCTACTCATTAGAAGCAAACCTTGCACTAAAGCAGATGAAATTTGTTTAAATCTAAATGGAGAGAAGATACCCACAGTCGACAGACTCAGAGTACTCGGCCTACATATTCAGTCCAACGGCAAGGCATCCTTCACCGTGCAAATGCTTCGCAGGCAATGCCAGCAGATTGCCCACCTCATACGAAGGGTGGGCAATGGACGTGGCGGGCTTAAAGAAGCCGACACCGTGAGAATTGTCCAGGCTCTTCTAGTAAGTAGAGTTGTCTACCATTGTCCTTTCCATAACTTTAAACGCAGAGAGATAGACACTCTCAATACGATCCTCCGAACTGCTATAAAAACGGCGGTTGGATTGCCTCAGCATACATCCACGCAGCGCCTTCTTCGACTTGGTATTCACAATACTATAGAAGAACTGATTGAGGCTCAGGCTGTTGGACAGCGTACAAGACTCAGCTACACACAGCCTGGAAGAAATCTCTTAGCCAGGCTCGGCTACAAACCACTTAATAAAGAACAGGGCTGCATGCGGCTAAAATCTGTCCCACCGAGCATTGCGGCTAAAATACGAGTTTTGCCCCTACCAAAGAACATGCATCCCACTCTTAATGCAGGTAGACGCCTCGCGCGTACCCGCTACCTAAGGCTCAAGTATCAAAACGACCCAGACGTCTGTTACACTGACGCTGGGGAGTACACTTCCCCACGTGAGGCAAAATGCATAGTCGTCTGCGACTCGCTTGGACGAGGTGAAGCGATAGCGTCTCTCGCCGCTCCCACATCGATCGCGGAGGCCGAAGAAGCGGCAATAGCATTAGCCGTAGCACGGATTTCGCGTAAAACTGAAAACACAGACAAGACCTGTACCATAATCACTGATTCACAGCCAGCGTGCAGGGCGTTCGCGCGATGCGTCGTCTCACAACGAAGTGGACACATTCTAAACACAGTTAATCAAAGCTCACTACCCGCAATCCAGATAGTCTGGACTCCTGGACATACCTCCCTCTCTGGCAACGAGAGTGCGGATGCACTCGCCCGAGAAATAGCCGGCCGGGCGTTGCATGGGGAAGGGGAGGCACCGGAGAATCACAACATGACCACCTCGAACTTACGCACAGAGCCAACACCGCTACACACGTACAATCAAATCACGGCATTTTACAGATCACAGCGCAGAACACTACCCCCTCCGCACAGGGACCTATCTAGGCAGGAAGGGATTGAGTGGCGACAGATACAAACACACACTTTCCCAAATTTGTACCACAAGCATCTATTTTTTCCTAACAGATACCGGAGCACCTGCCCCGGCTGCCAATCCCCCGAACCTTCCCTTTTCCACTCTACCTGGGCCTGCCCCTCTCCACCGGGGCAAGGCATCCTTCCCATCCCTGACCCATCCTTTACCTCCTGGGAGGCTGCGCTGTCTAGCGCAAAGCCCGAGGACCAGCGAATGCTGATCTCTCGGGCTAAGCGGATAGCAGAGGCCAACGGGGCCCTGGACTAGGGGCTCCCGACCAGAGAGAAAACACTCCTGCCTTTTCCCTGAATAAAGTTTTTCCTCCTCCTCCTTAGTAGGTATGTAAAAAAAAAAAACGGTGTCTATTTTTGTCTTTATCTTTATTTTAATTTTATTTTACTTCTGGGTTATGATAAGCATATCGCCCCGCATTGTTCAAGCTGTGCCGCTTGTCTAGTTGTTTGAGTTGAGTCATTGTATTTCACGTGTTTTCAGATATTTCTATAATAATTGTTTCTATCTGTTTTTATGACGATGGCTGGTCTTGTTATTTATTATCACTATGACTTCTTTGAAATGCTATTTCCGCTGTATGAACTGCAGGGGGCAGAGGCGCTGTCAGGCATCATGCCTTTATCTCTGCCCCCTCTGCGGATGATTAAAATCCGCAAAACAAATTAAAAAAAAAACAAAAAAAAAACTCAAGATTTTTTTTTTTTTTACTTTTTTGAAAAATTTTAAGAAACGTGGGGCGTGGCGAATCCCCGAGCATCTTATTAAGTTATTGCTCAGCAGCCAATGCGATTGTGACATTGGCAACTAAGAACTTCAGAAGAGAAATCATGATGCGAGAAGCCTGACCATATAAGTACCGCCCATTGTTTCTTGAGCAAAGCAGCTGCTCCGAGGACCATCAAGTTCGTACGACGCGTGTAGATGCCAGGTCTTGACCCCCATAATCTGGGAACTAGCATAAGCGGATTGGCACACGCGGGATGTGCACGCCAACGGGTTGTTGCTTGCATGCATGCTCACATTGACTCGCGCAGCCGTGCTGGCGGAAGTGCAGCGAACGAAGCCTTCAGCGTTGAACGGCTGGCCCCCCACGCAGGCCAGCTCTTTTGCGGTTTCCCCGTACTTTGGGTGCGTGCTCGCATTCATCGACGGCTTTGTTTTGTTTCGCTGACCCGGTGCCCTTGGTGTCGGTGTTTTCCTCGTAGCCGGGTTCGATGAAGACGGTGTCCGCGATCGGACGCGATGTCCCGTCGCCTCTCCCCTTCTGGGCTTCCTTCCTTGTTTGGTGACCTTTCCTCCTTAGCCGTTCTTGTCACTGTCTTAGTCTTGGTGTTGCTTTGTTTTGTACCCCCCCCCCTCTCCCGCTGTCACATCCGGGACCTCTCCTTCTCGCACATCAATCAGGTTGGTTTTGAAGCCTCAAATTCTAAGCATAAAGAAACGCGAGACATGGTGATTATAAGGGAAGTAATATATGTTCCCTTCTTTTTCTAAAGTACGCATCATTAATCACTCTATCATAATGCTTGTTTATAGCGTCCAATCTCGAGGTGAGGCTCATAACGCCTAGTTCGACCGAATAAAAGTCGTATCGGTTCAGTCGAAAGCTCGAAGTAAAAACCCCTTCGCAGTGCTGCTCTGAACCCAACATCTCTCTCTAAACGGAGCTTCGAACTCGTCCTATTTCGAACTTGAGTCCAGACGCATACAAAAAATGAAGCAAGCCTTTTAGGACGGCGACCTCAAATGGTTGATGGAGCACCCATGTTGTTTCCGGTTATACCTACCGGTGAAACCGAAACTGATTTGTTGTATTCGAAGGCTCTTTATTTGATCCTAAACGCAGAACCTTTTTTTCTTTTAGAGCGCCAAAAAGTGTAGGATAGCAACACCCCGTACGTAGCGGAGCGCATACCCGCTAACGCGTTTCTAATGCGTCCAGTGGTGGCGAGAAATTTCCCATTTTGTTTGTTTCTTCACGTTGCCTTTGCCGCGTTGTTATTTGGCGCTTTTTTTTTTTTTTTTCTCGCCGATCCAGAAGTGTGTCAAGGCGGGAGAGAAAGTGTTCTGCTATGTTTGTTTGTTTTTGCTTTCTCGCGCGGCAGTTTGGCTCTGGAGGTAACGCGCCGTCGACGATTGTTCCCAATGAAGCAGGCGTTTCATTTTTATTTTTTTAGGTCGGCGCAATTTAGTTTTGTCTCCGTGTCATAGCTGATAGTGGAGGAAAATGTCGTCTTTTCGGGTAAGGGCGTAGCAACGATGTGTCGAAAGGGGCATGTTATGGCTTTAACGGGTCGGGGTGTGAGGTTCTTCACGTTTACGGGCTCATTTTCATTCAATTATACCGCCTTTCGACGCACGGAAGCCACGCCTTTTTGAATGCCGCGGTGCCCAGTGGCGTTTCGGTTGAAAACAAAGTGTCGAGGCTAGGGAATGGATATTATGATTGTAAGCGATACTTCCCTTGACCCGCTCGCCAATAATATTGCTGTTTTTATTGCCGATTTTGAATTGTGGTATCATTTCTTTAAATTACTCCCGCCCCCCCCCCCCCCTTTCCCCCCTAAAAATTCTAGCCGTCTCATCGAAACATTTGCGCATGCGCGGGAGAGTAAGGTACCCGTTCTGTCCTCCTCTCCTCGACCCACGCATGCGCGGCTCACGGGACGAGGCTCTCGCTGAGTGTGCCGTTGTCTTCGCATTGCCTGGGGGCAAGAGGAAGGTTCGCACTGAAGAGGGGACGGCTGAACAGAAGCGGCGACGTGCTGAGTTTCAGCCTGCTACGAGACTCCGGAGGGGGGAGAGAGAGAGAGAGCGACGTTTAGATAGGAAAAGAGGCCATTTGACGCTTACTTAACGAACTTTATACAGTCAGTATGCTGGCGAGCTGGTAATAATTAATTGTTATGTAACACCCGAGACTGTAGTCCGGGGATGCGTTTGACACGTTGTCCTATTATTGTCTTTTTCTTCGACTTGAGAACGTTTCTTCGTTTTTTCCGCGCCACAGTCCCAGGTGTTAATGTTGCGACACTCAGTCACCCGCTTAGAGTTCGTCCTCATTTTATCCGCGGAATATAACTTCTCTAGAAGACAAGGTGCTGTCGCATTTCGACGTTGTCTGCAGTCAGGCACGTAGCCAGGATTTTTTTTTTTTTTTTGGGGGGGGGGGGGGAGGGGGGGGGGGCGGCGTTTATGACAAAATGCCGTATGAGGGGGAGGGGGGGAGGGGAGGTCCCAGCAAAATGAAAGATATCAGGGGGGGGGGGGCGGGCCCCGTAGGTCCCCCCCCCCCCCCTCCCCCCTGGCTACGTGCCTGGCTGCAGTCAAGCACTGCAAATACACAGCCCCCTCCCCCCTTTTTTTTTGGGGGGGGGGAAGGGGGAGTAGATATTTTTTCAACAATGAAAACTGCTGATGTAGGGAGGAGGAGGAAATAACTTTATTGAGTCCAAAGAAGAGGCCTATCCAGGCCCGTGGCGAGAAAAAAAAAAAAAAAAGATACTCAAGAAGATAATTGTCTGATAAAATCAGAACGAGCGTGCGTCGCGACTTGCTATCACCGATAACGAGTAAATATACACAGGATCAAAATAACTGTCCGGCACTTTGATTCAGCGCGTGTAGGCGGTGAAAATGCATAGCTTCCGTCGCTAACCTTGTTAGCTCTTGGGAGTTGTTTCGAGGTATTTTAAGAAACAATATTTTCGGTCATCGACCCCAGAAAAATAAATAAAATGCACGACGGCTGGATTTTTTTTTTTTATGCTCATTAATGTTTGCGATTGGAAGCATGTGGATTTTGAGCTTCAACGCTTCCTCCACAAGCGCACATATGCTGAACATTATAAGCGTGGCTACGGGGTGAAATTGTCGTAGCTATTTTTCTACCTTCGCGCATCTTCTGTCTGCGGCTTCACCAGTTAACCACAGCTGTACTGTTTTTCTTAGAGAGAAAAAAAGAAATAAAACATGTAAATGGTTCACTCGTCCGCCCTTCCATTTATCTTTCCCGCCCCGTTGATTGATAAGCCGGATTAAAAACTATCATTTTTACTTTGACTCCCAATTACGAAGTTTCCGCTCTCCTTCGAGAGAAATGGTGAACTGCCGCTGATTATGACAATTACATGGGAATCATTATCGTCATCGTGACGTTAATTCATGGGCGGATGTAACTGAGTGTATTGATACGATCTCTCTTCGAAATGGGCGGCAGCTTACGCCGCTTAACCTACATCGTATGGTATGCACCACGCGATGGTTGGTCGCATTGAAAGATGTGGTTGTGTTGTCCCTGTTTAAATTGTTTTATCCTTTCTTCATCCATGTCAAGCGGTGGCTGGTCGCATTTTCAGTTGTAACCCATTCAAACTGTGCGGTCATTCAGCTCGCCCCGTGCGGAAACAGATACCACCGTGTCACAGTTTCTTTGAGCCCTTCTTCTACGCGCGGTTAGGTTTCTCGCTCATTGAAGGTCTCCTCTTCTAAGCTGCAACTGCTCTTATACAAAAGACACGGAGTTCTCCGCAGAGATGTATGAGAGACAAATCTCCGCGGACATGTATACGCCCCGCGCATGTTCGACGCAGGTTTGCTTCATACAGGCTTGGTGGAACATGCCTGCAGACAGTTTTTGCATGTTCGATGGGACCGTCATACGGGGATAGGAACTCGGACAGTTTCTGCGGACTGTCTTTTGTATCGGTGTACTTCTAACATAGTAGGATGTATTAAGGCTTTAGGTTTCTTGTTCAATGGAGGCATTCTCTTTCGGGAACTCCGTATGGGAGCGTTTCCAGCTTCGACAATCGTATTACTATACTGGGCAGTCTATGGCGTATCCCCGAAAGAATCGGCACTTCCTATATAACACCTTACATCCTTCCACAGCATCTTTACTCGACCCGCTCCTATGCTCCACCTCCCACACTTTCCGGCTGGTCTGAGTGCCTGGGCACGCAGTCGTCCCCGGTAATGAGCGCGCTCATGCGCTCGCCCGACGCCAGGGGAAGACTTTGTCAGCATCCGACCAC